AACGGTTAACTCCGTTCGTTTCCGCCCAGAAAGGTTGTTTAAAAAAACACAGGGAAAAGTGTGTTACATGTCCTTCAGGTATAGTCTACAAGATCCCTTTTGATTTTGGTTTGTGCTATATAGGTCAAACGAAGCTTTCTCCTAATGGTAGACTAGACGAACATAAACGATGTGTCAAAAACAAGGATCCATATTCCGAGGTATCCAAGCATATGCAGGAGTGAAGGAATTGCGTGCCTTTATGGAGCTCGACAACCAGAATTGTAACAAAAAAGCGACCACAAGCGCCTGCTGAAAGAGTCAATCGCAATAACGAAGCATGGAAATGCAGTGAACAAGCCTTCATTGTCTTTAGACGCGGAATTGAAAATTGTCTAAAATCTCTAATGGTATTGTTAACATTATTTCCTTTTTGTGTGTGTGTGTAGTCTTACAGCTGGCTTTCTCAGTGAAAGGTCCAGTGCAATCTATAGTTTTTCCAGCGTGTTTTTTTAGTGATGTGTCATCTTTGGTTCTGTCAGTTCTTTTGTTGGTTTGACCCCATTGTTAGACCGTCCGGTGTCGTGTCTTTTGTGGAGAGAGGTGATGTGAAGAAGGGGTTCCCTTTCCTTTTTTTCTTTTTTCAACCCTAAATGAAGGGATCTTACATCAGTAAAGGTTTAGCTGTGTTTAAGACATTCTCCTTCTCTTCCGTGTCGTCCTCTATCATTACCGCAGTCTCGGGATTTTCACTAAAATGTAAAATATTGTTTAGATATTTTAGTTTTATCAATGTGTCGGGACAACCACTCAGACGGGATACGGTCTATTCGTCACATGCGCACTCGTCACAGGACGATTGTTCACAGGATGATTCGTCACACAGGAACATTCGTCATAAGATGACTCGTCACGCGGCCAACTGGTGCTACAATAGTTCGTCCCCCCAAAAATGTATTGTTCAATTTTGTTCAGGCGGACAAAGTGGCTCACCTCATATCAGGCGAAGAATTTGTAACAAACGTTGTAGCTTCTGGTTCGGTCCCGAACATTGGATGTTGGTTCGTCCTGACAAAGTGGATCACATCTTATCTTAGCATGTCTTTCGCTTCTCAAGGTAGAAGAATTTGTAACAGACGTTTTAGCTTCTGGGTCTGTCCCGAACGGTGAATGCGGAGGCCATATAAAAGCGACTACATTTGATCTCAGACTACATTCAAAAGGATGAAGGTGACCGGAACAAAGAGAGGTGGAGCCATGCAGCTGTACGAGGGGTACGCGTACACATGCAGCAGAAAAAAGTCCGATACTTATTGGTTTTCTCGAGGAGGCGTATGCAAGGCAAAGGAAAAACTGATTTGGCTGCCAGTCGGATTGTTGCTCGTTCAAGCCAGCAACCTAAATCAACCTGCTGAAGAGTCGTAATATGAGGAACAGTAAAGCGGGTGAGTATTGTAAGATTAGTTTTTCGAACCATTGGTTTATGCCACAGGGGGAAGTCGTGAAGCTCCTCATCAGGGAATGTGGGCAGTTGTTGAAATTTACAATTTACTATCATCCCCTGCCCGATCAATGTTACCAGTTGCCCGCATGACGAGCCGTACTGTGACAAATGTTCCTATGTGACGAATCGTCCTGTGACGAGTGCGCATGTGACGAATCGTCCTCATCCCCACTCAGACTACGAGGGGCTATTGTCAAGCGGTTCGTCAAGCGACCAAGCGGTTCCGTCTGATACATGCTGTTTTCCAATTTACTTCTTTTTCAGAACCTCTTAAATAAACACAAAAAAAGCACTGCTTAAAAAAAACTTAAAATAAAAACAACGCGTTGTCTGCTTGAAGATAACGGGCACGTGGCAAGCATGGAGTGAAATAGACCCTCGATTGACCGGTTGGCAGCATCTATCAAAGTCTACAACTCTTTTAATGATTACGACGGCGCTTGCCATGGTGTGAATTGCACATACAAAATTAATCCTCAAGGATTTGGTGTTTGCACAAAACTTTTGCTCCGGCTCTGTAGTCCGGAATGTTTGCGTTGAAAAGAAATATCAACCCCTGCAACGTCCATCCCAAGTAACACAAATTGGGTTCAGAAACGGTTGTTCAAGTGGGTCCCCCTTTATCGCCAACCTGGGTGCTACGTTGGTTTTTGCGAGTCGGGCCCAAGCGGGCCCCACAAGGGATGCCTTGGGTGACCCACAGGGAGCCGACGTGGGCAGCCGACATGGGCTGCCTTCTTGGGACCCACGGTGGGTCCTCTTCGGCAGTCCAAAAGTACCCTTCTGGTGGGGCCCACAGGGGGACCTAGGTGGCCGGCCCACCAGGGCCACCCTGGTAGGGTCCACAGGGGCCGTACATTGGCAGCCCATGTGAGGTCATCCCGGGAACGTCATCACGTTGGGGATGATTTTATCATCACTTTAGGGTGTGGAGCATACCTGTACGTCCGAAATTGAGTATGCCTCACTTTACCCGTGTGCCAACTAGAAACTTCATTACAATTTTGATACATTTTAATGGATTAATAGTACGTTTTGTACGAGACCACCAAAGCTGGGGCATTTCAAGTGTACGAAATGGAACAAGAAACTGTGCAGATTTTCATATCAAATCTTATCGGACAGGTAATCGGGACACATAACCAACCTTAGTCGGCTACAGGCACCGGGGTCTAGAACAGATAGCGAAATCCCGACGAGCGAGTCTGTAATTCACCGTCATATTTAAAGGGATACTTCAACAAAATTTGAAATATACCCGTCATGTTAAGAAATAGGCTAAATATAATCCACGATATGCGTAAATGACAATCGCACGTCTGTAATTTGAGCCTGACGGCTGCATTTTTTGTTATGAACGCCCCACTCTGGCAAGGGACGGAAAGACGCAGGGGAGACATGTCACATTCGGCGCAATCGTGACGTAGGTTGTCTCGGGATGAGCAAAGCTGCTGCGAGGCTGACGTCGTCAGAATTCCCTAGCCGTTCCAGACACCGAAGCAGTCGAAGCCCGCCAGCGATCCGGCTGCCAAAAGTAACCGAAAAGCTACTTTTATACGAAACTTGAGTGACGGATTAATCATCTATAATCTTGTAGGCTAGATTAGCGACGTCAGGGACACACAAAGAAGAGTCCCGGTGAGAGGTGAGTCCCTCCCTTCTCTCCTCACTTGTGCTGACTGGAGAGCTCTCGGGACTACGTGAGGTTCAAAGCATGTATGGTTTTAGGGAAGACAGGTTCCTAGACGGGCATTACAAACGAGGCTTTTGCTACATCCACCAGGTGGTCCTTGCTAATCGTTTATTTCGTTTTAAAATTTCTTTTCGTGTCTTTGTTTAGCAAGATATTTGTGTGTCCGATGCGATACTGTTCCTTTGGACTCGTATATACCAAAAAATAAGCGCCGGAATTTCGTTGTATCTCTTTACTACTCTACGTAAAAAAAAAAAAAAGAATCCTTCCACGTACCACTGCCTTTTGTACATACACCCTGAGTTGTAAGTTACTAATAAAAATTTGCAAGACTACAACATTTTTTTCAGGTTTGAAATCATATCAAGGTGACTTCCCATATTCAGTTTCCAGAACACGCAGAACATATTTTCAATATCAGCGTAAAGTGCCAATTTGGGAACTGCACAGGTAGTTCAAGATCGACATGCCACGTTATACGCCTTTGGAGCCCCCATCCGTGCTGAAATTGTCCGCGTACAGCCAAGGTGTGACCCACGAAGGCATTGAATGGACAGTCCAAGTTGGGCTCACCTTGCAATGCGCCCATGGAGACAACAATTGTGCTAACTCTGTCCCCGTGAAGCCGAGGTGGAACCCACGTGAGCATTGCATGAGCAGCCGAATTGGGCATGCCCTCGTGAAGCCGACCTTTATGCTAAATATGGCCCCGCAGAGCCGTAGTGGAGTCCACGGGTCCATTGCATGGGTGTCCCAAAATAGCACTTACGCAAGCGTTGTACAGGTAGCCCAAGTTTAGAATGCCCACGCGTTGCCAAAGCGGGACCCACTGGAGTACTTCGTCCTGAATGAAGCGGGCGTGCCCTCAGTTTGCACAAACTTTGCCTTCGCAATCGAAGGTGGGACCCACAGAGGTATTGCAGGGGCTGCCCCAGTCCACTTTGCCCACGTCGGGCGCCCTTCAAGCCGAGGTGTAATTTATATGTATGTGGCGCGGACACAAGAACGTCGATTTGACACAGATTGGTCATTTAGCAACTATGCAAGTTGTTTGTCACCGAAAAAAGAAAATCCTGAGAAACTACCGGACAGGCAAAAGGTAAGAGCGTCAAACCGCAAACATTTTCTGCGAATAAAATTGGACTTCCCTGGTAGGCGAGAACTTCTACTCTTATCCAATGTCCACGCCAGTGGTGCCACAAGGGGAGTGGGGACCGCCCCGGGTGCTGCGCTTCGGGGGTGTCGCGACAGGCCAAGAGAGGAGGAGGTGTGTTCGCGGCAGGCGACGGCCCCGGGGGGGGGGGGGGGGGGGGGGGCGCTGCGGGCCACCGTTTGCCGCTGACCCTGGTAACGCCACTGGTCCACGCAATGGTTTGCACTAAAAACGAGAGATTAATTTACGATGTAGTTTTTAGAACTTCAAGAGTTGGCGTATATTTCTAGAAAACGTCTGCTCCGGTTCTCTCGTCTGCGCTATCCGTGTTAAGGAGTATTGTTAACCCCTGTACCGTCAATCTTTCTAAACCAACGGAACATATTTTAGCCAACGGAGCTAAGTTTTGAGTAAACATCAAACCCTCCTGAATTGATATATATATATTTTTTTGCGCTTTACGTTGTGTCAAGTAACCTGTCTGTCCCTGCAGAAAAAGCCGCTCTACTTTCGTCATCATTGAAAATAATGTCAGATTTTGTAGATTCGTTATACAGATGCGACCACTCAAATTTTACTAAAATCACGGCGATAAAGACTTAGGAAGACGAGAAGTAGCTTGCGCTATTATAATTCCATAAGTCAGACCGATTTGCTGTATCGCCGAAACTTTAGTTTTGGAAGAGATAAAACATAGCCTTTTCGGTTGTGCTAGAGAGAGATATAGGTTCTTTATTATGGAGAGATACCAACGTCTCCATAATAAAGAAGTTATTTCTCTCCGTAGAGCTTTTGACGGCAGTTTGAAGCAATCCGAATTAAAAATTGTGAAAATTTTGAAAGATGCAAATGTTTTGGGCCACAAAGATCAACGGGGTCTCGAAAATAGGTTTTCCACTAATTTTTTTCTTTTGTGAAATACAACAAAGGAGACCTAACACCCCCCCCCCCCTCCCCCCCCTTCGTGGTCGTAAATGATAATGACGCTTTGCAGGAAATCTTGGCTTTAATTTTGCAGAACGCTCTTACAAAGAGTTACAGCTCTTTGAGACAATTCTGGAATAGGTGACTTAACGAAGTATTTTTCAAAAAATGCGCAGACGATGCATTGGTGGGTTTTACAGACTAGTAAAAGTTTGAGTTAGAGATAGCTTCTGAATTAAAGTTACCTATAGAAGAACGAAGAACGGTTACATTGAATACCTAAATTGTAAGCTCAAAACGGATCCAGGCCTTTGTTGGGTGTATGGCAAATCCGCGGCAAAACCACTTCTTCCCTTCGTTAGCTTCCTCTCTAAGCATGTAAAAATATGGCTAATTTGAAATCTAACAGCAGTATAAAAATGTTTTCATTGAATAGTTCCATCTCACCATAATTTTAAGGAGAATCTTAGAAATGCACGATTTATTAGGGAATATATTTTAAGGCAGTTCCTCTGTGTGGTATCTTCAAAAAACTATTCAGGAAAGTAATAAACCTTCTAAGCGGGTACTTGTTTCTTACTTCCATAAAATTTCCCAGAGTAGTAAAGCAGTAAACCACAGGTTTAATATTGATTATATTATTAATTGTCACTGCCTTTTGCAAGGCCAATAAGCTGAGCCGCATAAACCTGCTCGTATCAACAAGTAACATTTCTGTGAAGAAACACACAAAGAAAGGTGTAGAATGGACATCAGGCTTCATATAGAAGATACCCCTCGGTTGTGGCCTGTGATCTATTGAACAAACTAAACTTGGTATAAATGAGCCCTTGACAACATATGTAGAATAAATAAAGACCGTTACTCGGGAGTGCCCAAAAATCTAACTGAAATAAACAATTTTGTGCCATTGTAGGGTTCTACCTCCGTAGAGTCCGCGAAAACAAATGATCGCAAGCCCCTGCTAAAAAAGTAGTTAACAATGCTTAATCACGGGAACGTATTTAGCAAACCTTCGTTTAGATTGAACTTTGAACTACGAGAGTTTGCTGGGTTTTGAAAGGTGGTGACCTTCACGGCGCGTTTGTTAATTGTGGTCTGAGAAGCTAGAATGGCATGCTCTGCGATCTGCCTTGTGATACCGAGCTATAGTTGTGCCAGTGTAGAAGGTGGAAGAAAAGTGCAGTTAGCGAAGGTTAGTGGATAAGAGAGGAGGTGGGTACCGCGACGTTTTCTGTGTTATTGGTGTGTTACTAAATTTTGCATTTTAAACTGTGGAAAGAAGGTGTCTCCCTTTCTGGTTTATTTTCTCTTTGTCATGGTGTCCATTCAAACTCGTTTTAAAAAACAATTTATCACCTGTGTTGAGGCATTTCAAGGTACGCGTTTTTTATCTGGAGTCTAAGAACGTACCGAAGAAGTTCTTCCAGGTAGTCGTAGGCTTTGCCTGTTGTGGGTGCAAAAAGGCCGACTCCGAGGATGATGTATCCACATTTATGAACGTCCCCGGCTCTGTTCACCTCTTGGAGGTCTCTCAGTCTCTACACCAAATGTTAACATAAAAACGAATAATTGCATTGTGAGTATTCTACCTATGAATCATACACATATAGTAAAAGTTGCCTTTTAATTAGTAGAGGTGAAAGCACATTGGTAACCTTTAAGCCAATGGAGGCCCCTTGAAATACATTTATTTCACTCGTGTGAGCCTCTGATTAATTACTGCTAGCTTAAAATATACCTAGTAATTATTAATAAAACTATAATCTTGTTTGTTCATTCTTACCTATCACACCTCATGAATTCGAATGGTAGAAGTCAAATCTGAAAGTTTGGCCCGTAATTTTGTATTTCGTTTGGTCTTCCCTTTTTCCATATACTTATGTGTCATCCCCCCCCCCTCCCCCCACCTTTCTCGATAGTCTCATCTCTCCTTCCACTCCTCTGGTTTTTTTTCTCTGGATTCTACTACTGTCGTAATTCGTTCTTTTCTTTTCTCACAGGTCCGTTGGGACACACGACCAGTCTATAGTGCGGTAGTCTTACGAGGGCTTTAATAGAAGGAAATTAGGCTTGTCCAGTTCTTTGGTGGATCTGCTCATATCTATACGCTTGAGGATGATTATTAGACAGTTCATGTTTATGTTTTGCAACCACTAGTGGGCACAGAGTGTGTTACGCTTAACTGCTGACTAGAAGACGCGTGGAAGCGTGCAACTTACCCGTCTGTTTATTCATTTCTAAGCGTAGGGTGAACATAGCACTTTAGCATTGAGCTAATTGGTTGCTTGTGTTTACTTAAGGTTATACCATCACCACTGTCACAACTTGGATTGCGGTGGTTATACTAAAATACAAAAAGAGTCCAGTCGGCTCAGTGGAATTGCCCTTGTTTTCGCTTTATAAGGACGGCAGACGGAAGAAGTGATCACATTTAACAGTGACCTATAGCCTTTTATAAGTCACGTTTGACCCAACGACGAATAAATATGAAAATTCTGTCATTAATTGGTAAGAATAGGTCGATAGTAAGGTCGCGTCTTTGGCCAAAATTGCTTCAACGAGCTTGGGCGCGTTCATTGACAGCACGTATGACCAGCCACCAGCCACGAATATTCCCCGAGCGGAGGCCATGTGCATAACTTATGTTCTCCAATCATGATTTTAGGTAAGTATGTATTTAAGGAATATATTTCAGCAAGCCAGAGTTGAAATTTCCGAATCTTCCTAACTGAAAGGGCAACGTCATCTTCAGCAACTTGAAGCTGGTCCTGGTCAGGATAACCTTAAACCATAAAACACACATTTATACGGCATTGGTATTGTTTTTGGTATATTTCAGATCCGACTACAAATATTTCTACGTGCATCGCCAAGCTAGCGCGTGTTTGGCCGAATGGATACTGCGCTTGAGTGTCGCGCGGAAGCTCTAGGTTCGATTCCAGTCAGCGGGATATCCTTTTATTTATTCTTTCAACTTGGTGTTCTCGTAAGTTCAATAGCATTCTTGTCTGACCGAGTCCGAATGTTCTACGCGCCGAAAGATTTACGCCAAATGTTCCAGAAACGCACGAGAGTATAGACCCTTTCTCCAAGGGCGCCGCCATCTTGGATTGTCGTCACTTCCAGTATGGGCGAAAACATTGTTTTGCCGTCGCCACGCCAGTAAAAGACACTTAGGATATAAGCGTAACCGCCAAACATTATCGTTTTGCCTCTCCTTTATTTTTTTAGTAGTTACAGGTTGAAACGCTTTAGTATTTTTTCGTCGCCCATACGGGGTACGCCTATAAGGTGGCTTGGGATGAGAGTACACAGAAAAGGTCTATATAAGGGACTCCGCATGGAAAGCGGGTCAGCCTCGCTCCGGCGCTCGATCCTGTTGTTTATTGCCGACATCGACGCCTGCGACGTTAACTTACTCCTATTTTGTTTTGTACACAGTTGGCCCCACTAAACGTTTATTTTCGCAGTTATTCTTCCCCTCATCATTTGTCATTTGTGACATTTTGGTGGAGGTGTTGGGTAGTGCATCTTATGCCCGTAAAGCTACCCCTCCGAAGACATCCCGGCCAAGTGAGGTGCTTAGTCCCGGAAGGCTACCCTTCGTCGAAAACGCCGAAGCCCGAGCAAGCCGTCGCATTCAGGGACTGCCCCCAGAGTTCGGTCAACTGCAAGAACTATCGAAGAAAGACAAGTCGACCATGAACAGCCAGTCCTCGTAAACTCCGGTACCCCTTTCGTAGTTTTCCTTCAAGCCTGTCGCTTCATGTACACCGACACCCTTCAATGGCGACGCCCATGAAGAAGTGGACGATTGGCTTCATCACTAGGAACGCGTGGCTGGGCGCAACGGAAGGACAGCTGAACAGTGCCTGCAAAACCTCTACTTTTCCTTAGAAAGAACTGCGAGGCTTTGGTTTGAGAATCATGAGGCTTCCCTTACGTCGTGAAATACCTGCAAGGCCGAACTCAAGAGGACGTTTGCGAACCAACGACGACGACAGCGAGTGGAAGACCTTCTGCAAGTAAGGACCCAAGGCCCCAACGAAACCGTCACCAGCTTCGTTGAAGGCGTACTTCGCCTGAGCAGCCGCGCCGACCCACAGACCACTAACGAGAAAAAGCTGTGTATCCTGATGAGAGGCGTGAAGAGTTGCATCTTCGGCGGCCTTGTTCGCAACTCACCAACTAGTGTCGACCAATCTGTTGCCGAGGCAACAAACATCGAGCGTGCATTGTCAGTCCGAGCCAGCCACCATAACCGACTCGCCGGCACGAGAAAGTGTCCTGGACGTCGTTAGAGCTCCGGAACATACTATCCGCTGCTGATCGCCCCGCTTAGATTTTCATTACCGAGGTTGTCCGAGAAGAGGTTCAGCGAGCCTTCCAGCCAGAAGCACCCGTCACCATGCCAGAACCGGTCGAGCCCTTTCTAACCTACACCGCAGTAGCCCAGAGAGCGGTGTCAGCTGCCCGACATTATTCGACGCCACTTCGACATCACCTACCAGCGCCGCAGACTTTCCGACGTCGGGGAGGACGGCCGCAACTCGTCCGCACCGAATATCTAGCGCCTAGGAAGACGGCGTTGAGGCGCATGGCCGATCGACGACCACAGTGTTATCACTGAGACGAAGACGATCACGTCTACCGGAGGTGCCCGTACCGAGAAATGGGCCTGCGAGATTTTGCGCCGAGCGACCCGCGACCCCGCCTCGGGGAGCGACCAAAGGTCATGGAGAAGTACCTCTGACGACCCCTGTCCCCGCTGCCGACTCCACCCCGAGGTTCATGTTCGCCATCGCCTCGCCTCGACGTGCGCTCTCGGCCTTCCGCCGCTCTCGACGGGACAGCCTGTTCCCCCTCTCTCGTTAGGAAAACGAAGTGCGGCAACGCCTGAAAGTGGCGTTGCCGAAGACGACCGAAGTAAAGGGCCTCCAAGAACGCTGGAGCGCACCCACTCTCTCGTCGCCACGCATCGCAATGGTGCCCAACAACCTAAACGTTGTTATCAACGGCCACGACGCATCGGCACTCGTGGACACCGGAGCAGACTACAGAGTCTTGAGTGGGAGGCTCTCTCGCGGCCTGAGGAAAGTGACAGTACCGTGTGTTGGACCTCAAATGCGGACTACCGGAAGACACCTCATTACACCAGTCGGGAGATGCACTTCTCGCGTCGAGATCCACGGTGAGACGCGCCCTGTGAAGTTCGTTGTTCTGCAAGACTGTGCGAGGGACGTTATCCTCAGAAGGAACGTTCTCTGCGAGTATGGCGCCGTCATCGATCTCGGGACAAAGCAGTTGACGCTGCGAAATCCTGTTCTGCCGCCGGTGGAGATCAACGCAACGTGAACCGCGATCAGAGTTATTGCCGACCATGCGAACCGGCCGCAGCGGTCGAGTGTTTTGGAATCGTCATAACCGACGCAGCTATGCAAAGTCAAGCTCTTCTGGAAGGCAGCGTCCAACTGCACCTTCAAAGAAGAATTGGCGTCGCACGAGGCGTAACGGATCTCCAAGAAGAACGTACAACTGTTCTCGTAACAAACTTTCGAGAGGAGCCGCAGCAGCTAACTAAGGGTACTACCGTGGGCCCCGCCAAGGAGCTTTGGGCGTCAGCCGTGGTCACCGCAATATCTGAGGAGACGTCATCTCAACAGAAGAGTTCGTCGCCACCGCAACTTGTTATCGACCCCGAGCTCCCAGCTACGAAGCGCCGGCAACTGGTTTATCTCCACGCTGAACACAGTGACTGTTTTGCCACGTCGTCAGAAGTTCGCCAAACACCAATGGCGAAACATCGGATTTTTACAAACGACGTGGTCCTTTTTCAGCAGTCGCCGTATTGAGTCTTCTTAAAGGAAAGGAAGGTGAATCAAGATCAAGTCCAGGAAATGCTCAACGACGGAACCCTGAGGACGGAACCTTGAGGTTCTGTGTTAACTATCGTCGAATGAACGCAGTGACTAAGAAGGACGTCTATACGCCCCCCGCATCGACGATACGTTAGACCGAGTTTACCACTCCCGATATTTTTTTCTCGACGGACCTGAAGAGTGGCTTCTGGCAGATTGAAGTCGACGAACGCCACCGAAGGAAAACTACCTTCGTCACCCCCGACGGACTGTACGAGTTCAAATTGATGCCATTCGGACTTTGCACAGTACCAGCCACCTTAGAACGTGTCGTGGACACCGTGCTGGCAGGTCTGAAATGGCAGAGCTGCCTCGTCTACCTGGACGATGTCGTGGTGCTTTTACAGTGTTTCGACGAACACCTGAAACGACTTCAAGTCGTGCTTCAAGCCATCAAGACCGCCGGCCTGTCATTCAAGCGAACAAGGTGTCACTTCGCATACAACGAACTAAAGTTCCTTGGCCACGTCGTGAACAACAAAAGTGTCTTCCATGACCCCGAGAATACATATCATGGCTGCATTTACGCCGCCATCTGACAAGAAGGTTGCGGAAAAACTTCTCGGACTCTGTGCCTACTACAGTCGGTTTGATCGGGACTTGGCCAAGCTGTCCGCACCGCTTACGCACCTCACCAAGGACGCCGTAAAGTTTGAGTGGACAGAAGAACGCCAACGGTCATTCGATGAGCTGAAACGAAGACTCCAGACGCCCACGATTCTTGGCTATTTCTACCTGTTCGTGGAAAAACAGAGATCCACATGGACGCCAGCAACAGCGGAGTTGGCACGGTACTAGCCTAAAGGCAAGACGGGGCAGACCGAGTCATCGCATATGCGAGTCGGGCGCTGTCTAAGGTGGAGAGAAACTACTCAACTACTTAAAAGGACTGCCTCGCTGTCGTCTGAGCAATAAAAAAGTTCTACCCGTATTTGTATGTAAGACCTATTCGCGTAGTCACAGACCACAACTGACTCTGCTGGCTCGCGAATCTGAAGGACCCCTCCGAACGCCTCGCCCGGTGGAGCGCACGACTGCAGGAGTTCGACATGACTGTGTTGTACAAGTCCGGCAGGAGACACAATGACGCCGACTGCCTGTCAAGGGCCCCAGTCGAGACCGGTCCTTCCTGCACCAAGGACGACGACGATGAGTGTTTCCTCGGCGCTCGGGATGTCAACGACATGGCTGCACTGCAACGAGACGACCCTGAGCTGCGAGCACTCATCGAGCACCCAGAGGGACACGAAAGCGCTGTTCCCCACGTTTTTGTACGAACACTGCAAAACTTCTCCACCGAATAAGGTGTGCTAAACAAGGTGGACTTCAGCGACACCAACACGGCGTGGGTGTTGGTGATCCCTTCCAGTCTTCAAGAGAAAACATTTCATGCCTGCCACGTGCACCCGACGGCGGGACACTTCGGCTACAGCAGGACTCTTGCCAAGATACTCGAAAAGTACTACTGGCCCAAACTTGCGAAAACAGTCCACCACTATACCTGACCTTGCCACGAGTGTCAACGACGGAAGACCACCGACAAGACCGGCAGCATTTCGTCAGCCTATTGCGCCGCCATCCGCCCCATTCCATCAAATCGGAACGGATTTCCTTGGACTATTCAAACCATCGACGCAAGGAAACCAATAGATAATCGTCGCAACATATTATCTCACACGTTACGCCGGGACGAAAGCCCTTACATCAGGTACAGCTGTTGAAGTCGCCAATTTTTTCATCGAGTCCATTGTCCTCCGGCACGGCGCCCCCGAAGTCCTCATTACAGACCGTGGATCATCGCTCAGGATTCAGCTGATGCAAGAAATCTTTCGTCTCAGTGGCACCGGCCACCGTCGAACCATTGCGTACCATCCGCGGACTAACAGAAAGGCTAAACAAAACTATCGCCGAATTGATCTCTACTTTTCTCGACGTAGAGCACAAGACGTGGGACGAGATGTTACCCTATGTGGCTTTTGCATACAACACGGCAGTGCAAGAGATCACAGGATTAACCTCGTTTCAGCTGCAACATGGCCGAAAAGTAACGATCATGCTCGACGAGATGCTGCCCCACGAACCAGATGACGATGGGAGCCAAGCCGCCTAGGTTGTTGCTCAACGAGCTAAAGAAGTTCGCCAACTCGCCCGACTCCGCATTCAAGATCAACAACGTGCCGACGCTACCCGGTACATCCTTCGTCAGATCGACGTTCGCTTCAAGACGGAGACCGTGTGTGGGTCTGGACCCAGATAGGACGACTCCTGAAGCGCTACTTCTAACCCTACAAATGGCTTCGTCGACTCGGGGATCGGAACTACGATGGGATGTCCGACGGAACACGGACTTCATCGCGCCACCCTCCACGAGCGGAAGTCGTCCACGTTGTGCTCCTCAAGCCGTACTATGATCGATAGGACTGTGAACTTCGTTTTTGTACTACGCTCGATAGGACTGTTTTACAGGCCTCCGTAGTTTGGCATTATTTTTTAATTGTTCTTCTGATTCATTTTCCAACAAGTTGCATTGAGACGATGATCTTCTAAAAAGGGGGGAGTGATGCCACTCGTGTTGCCGACCGAACGTTTGCGTGGGCTGTTTCTGTGCTTGGCTGTCGCGCGCGCGGAAGGTTCAGGTTTGATTCCGGTGTGCGGGATGTCCTTTTATTTATTCTTTCAGGTTGGCGTTCTCGTAAGTTCGAGAACCTTCTCGTCCGATCAGGTTCCGAATGTTCTACGCGCCAAAAGTTTTACGTCGAATCTTCCAGAAACCCACGAGGTACAAAGGGACTCCGCGTGGCGAGCGGAGTCAGTCTCGCTCCAGCGCTCGATCCTGCTGTTTCGCCGACATCAAGGGCTGCGATGCTAACTTATTTCTATTTTGTTTTGGGCACAGGTTCGCCGCATTGAAAGTTTAGTTTCTCAGTTATTCTTCGCCTCATCATTGGTCATTCGTGACAATATCTATTCACCAAAGTTTTCCTACAAATGGGGCAAGCTGGCTTTTACCTTGAAAAGTGTATCGTAGTCCTGGAAGGTACTTCTGTTGGTTACGAGAGCGTCGTGCATTTGTAACTTGAGCAGTCCGTAATGCCGGATGTTCGTGTTCCATAAGTAGCTAAATGTGCTCAATCCAGCGGCAACGTTTAGGTCGTTGTAGGCTTCAAGGATATTGCTGCGAGAAATGACACATATGCATGAACTCTAGTTCAACAATACTCAATTCAATTGCCGCTTCAAGAGAATCCTTCTCATTAAAAAAATATATAGATGAAAGTCCACTGGAAATATAACGCTACTTAATTAAGAACTTAATACCTGCAATATATCAGAAAAAAAAAAAAACCTCAAACAAAGCAACTCTTACATTACCATTTATCTAAAGACATAAACCCCTCACGTATATCGGGTGTTTCAATGAAGGCTTTAAAAGATTCCTTATAATAAAGTGATTAAGAAAAAAAGAAGGGGAAACACTTTTCGGGGACAGAGTTCTAACCACAGTGGACGTCAAGCAAAGGAAAAAAGAAACTAATTAACGAAGTCGTTAACTAAATAACCTAATTACATTTTTAATTATTATATATAAATATCGTTTCCGAGAGAATCTTGCAAGCATCTAAGAAAAAACACTAAATCCAATCATTTTGGAAATATATCGCAAGCCACAGGCAAAACGTTACGTCGTTCCGAAAGAGAAAAACGCTCGATTTGGACACATTTTTAGGTTTCGATTACTCTCGGAGCATATCTTTCTGCACGGGGTCCTGATCCCCAGTGGCCGAGACGTGTGTAGTCGCGAAGGGACTTTAGTATAGGGAGATAGTAGAGTAAAACGAGCTAACTGTTTAACGAGGACTACACAAGTTTAAAGACCAAAGATAACAAGGCGGACCGAAAGACGTGTTTTCTTTACGAGCCTCAGACGAAGACTACCCATCGGCGATTTGTCTTGACGTAGGCGAGGGGGAATGCATTAAGCCGTCTGGCTCTTGAGCCGACGGTTCCCCGACGCTCGGCCACCGAGTTTTCCCCCTCCAGAATGTGCGGTGCCGGGTTTCACCCCTACGGTCGCCGTCCGCTTGCGCGGTCTTCGTCGCAGGACCGTCCGCTTTCGGGAGCTTGTCTCCACGTGCCGCCACAGGTGCAACGCACTTTCGCCATACTTCCCTGCATCTCGCAAGTGAGGCGAGGCGGTGGCTTCGCGCCTCAGCCATCAGGGAGCAAGACCGCGGGCGCAACGATACGCTCCGATAAGAAATGGAAACCTAGAAACACGTCCAAAGTGATTTTTTTTTTTTTCTGAACGCTATAAATGTTGTTTTTGGCTTTCTAAAATGAGTTGATTTGGCAGTGTTCGATGACGCTTAGTAATTTCCTTAATAAAAGCACATGTCTATTTTCACCAAATAAAAGGTTAATTAGTAACATTTAGTAAATTGTCTAGATAATTATTATGTTTTTAGAAATTCTTGACCCTTGTCGCGGCTGACAGGTTGTTCCGAGAACAAGTTTTGTTTTTGGTCAATTACCACCTTCGCTGAAAAATTCGGTACAAGAACTTAAAAAAAACATGAAGAAGACACTTTACACTGCTTACGTGTAGGAATGCGAACGCATTCCTACAGAAGAACATTTTTACAAGCAGCGCGCCACGTTTTCCTATCGCACACGGCGCTCCGGCGGTCATATCGTGCTCCCCCACTGCGCAGGCGCGACGAACCCCACCGGCTCCACGCCTCCCATGACGAGGCATCTGCGTACCTGTGCTTTTGGCCAATGGGAATTTAACTGCCGTTTCGATGCCTACACACGGTTACAGACAACGCCGGCTTCGCTCCATGGAACAGTTAATGCTTTCGCCATAAGCGTACAGGGTCACTCAAGTCACCAGGCTCGATATAAAATAGACTGTAAAAATGGACGCCTGCACGTAGCGATCTAAAATTTTTGTCAAAGGTGTATTTCACAGGTCTTTTTTTTTTCTTGTAAAATTACAAAGCGTAGCTCCCTTTCTGTAAACAAATAGGGCCAAGAAGCCTGCCAGGGTAAGCGGCGGGCGGCGACGCAGACGACAAAGTCGAGTGGCGGGGCGCGCTTGTCGCTCGTATTTATAGATGGCGCTACCTCCTTATCGCGACTAGCTCCCTATGGGAGCCAGAGTTGCGCGTCTGTTTTCCACGCGCCGCCGGGCCGCTATTCGCCGAGATACAAACACGTGAGGAGCAGGGTCCAGTGCCATGCAGGAAAACAGACGTTGCACGCGCCCCGGTGTACGCTCCCCTGCTTTTGAGCGCGGCGCCGCTATTCTCCGAATTCACTCACGTGAGGAACAGGATCAACATGCCATGCAGGAAAGGCGGCGCTACGGGGATGAACACGCAAAACTGGCTCCAGTAGGGAGCCTATACAGGACCTCTAATCGAGACGGATGTCGATCGCCGTGGTTTATTAAAGTGAACATAATTTTTTTTATAATGTACCTTTGGTTAAAAAACAAATGCAGACAATAAAAGCAAAATTTCTAGTAAAAAAAAACAACGCGTCTGCATAACGACGGTGCCTTTGCTGCCAACGGATTTCGTCTGCGAGTCGTGGGCTTTCTTTCGCTGGTCACTGCACCTTGCGAAGCTGCTCCCGACGTCATCTATCAAGACGCGCGCCAAACGCACCCCGCATCTCGGCTTGGTCGTCTGCGTCGCCACCCGCCCTTAACCTTGGCAAGTTTCTTGGCCCTATTTTTTTTACAGAAAGGGCGCTACGCTCTCTAATTTTACAAGTAAAAACCGACTTGTGAATTGCACCTTTGACGAAAAGTTTATTATGCTACGTACAGGCGTCGATTTTTACGGTCCATTTTAAATCGAGCCTGGTGACTCGGGACACTCTATACAGTGTAGCGCTTTTTTGCACTCAGAGTCGGTTAAAACTTTAAAATAAGATTAAACTAATATTCAGGGATTTATTTGTCACTAGGAAATGCTCTCCTGCTTTAGCTTTGTACGAGGCAAATATTTTATATTTGTGCTTAAAGGTCCAGTGACAACCCAATTATTGATATTTTTGGTCTCAAACGGTTCAGACGTGCCCGACTAACCACTTTTCACACCGACAAGGTAAGGCGCAAGGAAGGGATGTGAGGGTTTGCTGTCCAATTGAACTGTTTCCAGCCTTTCCACCACATCAGATAAATTTAGCGTTCTCTACTCTGGACAGCAAAGCGTTTAACGAGAGACTATTATTAAAAACAGAATTATTCGCCGCCAAATCCATATTAGTTGTACCACCTGAGCACCTCTCCCTTCCTCCACCGGGGAGCTAATGTCGACACGCCGCTTCGCAAGAGCCTGGTGCTTTGGTAGCGTGATGCGCGCGCCGGGGAGAAATCCTCGGCACTAATCTATCGTACGAATACTGGTTTAAGAAACCCGAGAGTGTTGTCTGGCTGCACGTTGAGAAAGTTAACGCAATTGGGATTTCTTTGTGTTCCCTGCACTCGTTTATTCCTTGATCTAAGAAAAAAAAAAAAGAAAGATCTCGAACTTCATACGTTTTGAACAACAGCATTTCTAGAAACTAAAAAAAAAAATTTGTTTGTCCTTTGATATGCAATTTAATTGACGATGTGACCACACATCATCTCAAATTTGGGCTAACATTCATTTGCATTCTTTTTAGAGACAACAGGTTAAAGCACTGTTGGCTCGGAACCTCCCCAGTCAAATGTCCCTGGTATCCACGTATAGCCAAAATAGTACCCGTGGTCAATTCCTATTCCGAATTGGGTGGTTCCGCTGTCCCTCCGGACAAATCCAAGAAACCACTGCCACCCGGCTGAGCTGCGGTTGAGAAAGGTGCCCCTTTCAGAGTTGTAGAAGAAGTCCCAGAAAATGATGTCGCAGAGGCCTTTCGGCGGCCCCGCGGCATACTTCTCGAAGAAAGTCCCAAAAGTACATAAAATTGTCTTCTTGGGCAGTGTCCCTGCAAAATAAAATGCTATATTAGGAACCGAACTGAACAAGTGGTACCCTTTTTTTTTTAATCCGGGAGAGGCAGAACGCGAGAAAAACGGTAAGCCTAAGTGTCAGTTAGTGCCAAGGTACTTTTCTTTGGATTTTTCGTGCCTCTTCCCCGGTTCGCCACACCATTGCCGAAATGCCCGAGATGAGCCAAAGATGCCGCGTATCAATCGAACAAGCAGCAGGGAAGACTAATTCAGCGTTTGACATTTTAAGCTCAAAGTTGAAAGGTGGAAACAGGACAACCAGAAGTGAAGCATAATGGTGCCATTTCCTTGAGAACAGCGGTACAAAGAAGCTAGGCGACTACCGAAAAGCGAAGTAGTAAAGCCTCCCTGTGGTACTTGCTTGGCAACTTAAAGGGGCCATGAAACGAATTTTGGGTTTGGATGAATGATTTTAAATTGGGACTTTACTAATCGCATATCGTTTAGTTGTCCAAAAGAAAGAGGCTAGAAAGTCAAAAGCCAGCTTTTCGGTACGAACATTTGAAAATATAGCGGACTATTTTGTACCTTCTTGCCTTCGAAAGCTCTCCGCCTTTTCACTATGATACATCCGCGGTTCCAAAAGCGCGTCACCGGCGCCAAACTGACGTCAGCAGAGCCCAGCTTACGCATTGGACGCGAGAACTGCGTCACTCGGACGTATGCGCTCGTCAACAATCAATCCGTCGAGGAATAATTGGATTCGCGTTCGTGGCCAATGAGTGCCCTGACGGAACCTATTGTCACTGGGGAATGACAAGTTCTATGGTGTGCATAAAAAGCACGGTGGAACCTAGGAGTCACCGCACCGGTGCCGAAGGAATGTCACGACCACGTGATTTCACAATTCGCATTTGAGTTGAGGATTAAAGCTAAGGAGGAAGAAGTAGGAAAATCGTTTCATGACCCCTTTAAGGTGGGAAAACTCATGCTAGCAAAATAATTATCATGCTTGGTTATACTGTCACGAATGACAATGAGGCGCCGAAAACTGAAAAAAAAAACTAAACGTTTAATGGGGCGAACTTGTGCCCAACACGAAATGAAGAAAGTTTAGCGTCGCAGGCCTCATTGGCGACGTGACAGCAAAATCAGTCGCTGGGGCGAGACTGGTTCCGGTTCGCCACGCGGAGCACCAAACGTACAAGTCGAGGGCATCTGGAACAATCGGCGAAGAATGTTCGGCGCGTAGAGCATTCGGACCTCAAAAAAAGCCAACAGGGTTCTCGAATTTACCTGAATGTGCCACTTAAAGAAACAACAAAAAACTGCGTCCGCTCCGAGGCATTGAACCTGGAGCATCTGCACTACGGCCAGGCACAGTAACCATTCGGCCACGTACGCGCCGCTCGGCGACGCGCGTGGCAATACCTCAAAACGTCGGGGATTTCAGAGGCATAAACTGCAAGACAGAAAATAAATATTGGCACAAAAAACCGTACAGATTGCGTACGTGCTGAAAAAAAAAATTCGATTTTACGAGGAAGTATTAGCGACATTATTAGAAAAAATACTGAAGGATGTTAACACGCGTCGTTCCAGTGGTTTCCAATCTTGGAAAAGGGAAGGGAATCATGGAAAGATTGGGAGGATGATAAGGCAAATTGTGAACGGTACAAGGAGCGATAGAAATTAATGAAATACAAACACACACGAACAGTCATATAAGAAATTGTGCAGTTTGATACTTTAGCCCCTTGTTCCATGGGAAAAACACCAGCCGTCGGATGGCCCAAAATGCGTGCTTTTTGTGTAAGGTGTTTAAAAACTTTAGGCTCTAGAAAAAAGCAGTCAATAGCGTTAAGTCCTTATTTTGAACTCGTTTCGTTCATGTTCTGGCCATTAAAAAGCACGGCGGACAAGCGAACGCTCCTGATGTTGCCACACCAATGACTCCTTCCGCACGCTTGTGTCCGCCTTGTATGGCCACCGATAATCAATAGACACGCCGGAAAACGCAACGTTTGAAGCCAGCTATAACCGCGTCATCTTCCGAACGCCGTCTGCTATCAACCATAGAGTTGTTATAGTGTATGCTAGAGGTTCAACTGCCGCTAGTGTGTTGTGGCGAATTGAGGCAGAGAGCAACCAGGCGGAAATTAACTTCCGGTAATTAATTTTTATAGAAACAAGTGAGTGCATTTTCTTCGTAAGATTGATTATAAGAGGAAATTTCACGAATAATTTGTACCTAATAGGTAGACAGGAATATTTCTCAGTCAAGCAGACAAAATATTTCGTCAGTTACGACGTTTTTATTCAAAATTCATGGCATTAAAAACGGTCCTAAACCGCCTTCGAAGATGCATGTATGTGCATTGCCGGATACTGTTAGCGCGAACACAGCGTCGTCGCCTTTCAGCATGCAGGATATACGTGCCAAACGAACAAAGGACATGCAGAAAACCAAGAGACACGCAAACCCTACGCAGTAACATTGGATCAGTAACTCCTTGTACATGGAGACGACCAAAATAAATTGAAGGCCACGAAATTTCGCTTAATTTGCAAAAAAATAAGTACTGCTTTTTTCTGCACATGAATATGCGCGAAGATGCTTGTTTTGTTCACACAACGTCACCGCAGGCTCAAAATCTTCGAAAATAGGAAGAAGCAAGAGAACAGGTGCCCGATAAAAGCTGCCCGACATTGGAAATAATATTAAAAAAAACACCTCTCATGGCCGACACACTCATTCTTTACATACAGAATGTTCTTTAACCGCTTGTGAAGATACATGGTGGAGTCATTTTCATATTGTGACAGGACGGGCATGTAAGCAATATATGAGCTCAACTGGAATGCTGGCGAATCTTGAAAACACTCTAAATTTCGTTCTATTGTCATTCTTCCTAGAATCGTCGCTCGTTCTTACATAGGCGCTATAGAAAAGATTTTTGGGCCTGAAATATAGCAAAGTTTAACATCGTTCAGTGGGAAAAGCAACAAAAAAAAAAACTGTAACTAAAGCAATTACACTTTTATAATGCTAAGAAAGGTACATACCTTTCGGTACGACCCAAATAACAACAGTTACATATACCATTTACCGGCGAAGATAAAGAAAATTGCGCGCACATTTTTTTCTCTTTATTGGACAATGTGGAGAGCAAGTCGAATGCTTCTTTCGCAGGAGTTGTGGTTACGTCCGAACGACGCCGAGCTTCTATTGGCTTATTGAAAAATGGTGGCGGGAACCTCAAAGCATTGAGATCTACCCATTATTTTCTTCAGTCAGCCAATAAGCGCTCGGCGTCGTACTGATGCCACCGCAACTCCTGTGCAAGAAGCAGACGACCTGCACTCCGGATAGCACCAGTTCAACCTACACAGTACCTTATAACAACTCTAGGTTACCAACGCGGCAGCGCTTGCTTGGGCTCCAAGCTAGGCTCAAGCCGACCACACTCTGCGCCAACACCCCCCGCTTCGATCGGAGAAACTTTAATATAATCTTAGGCCCGAGCGTGCACGAAACAACGTCAGAACCGCCAAGGGTTCGGCAGGCGACCGCATTCCGCTTTCAGCGTTGACCTCGCCAACGGCGCGTTTGACTTTAGCTAGCGTTGACGCGTTGACGTTAGCAGACGACACTCGGCAGATGGCGTCTCCGGTGGCTGGCTTCAGACGCTTCGTTCGCGCGTTCCTCTGTACAGAAGACACTTCGTTACCATAGTTACGCCGGCCATAGCAGACGGACTTTATTATGCGGAAGGAGACGGCGGGGTGGCGAGATAAGGTGCGTACTTGGGTTCTTTCGCCATGAGTCTCGATAGGCGTAACGGGAACAAAAAGAGCTCGAAAGAAGGACATAACGCAAATGGCTGATTCTCTCCAGCGACTAATATATTGGCGATCGTTACACGAAAAGTAGGCTTTCAGCTCGCAACTTGGATAAAGCTTTATGCACTGCAACATGGGGCTAAACTACCCATGTGCCATAAATTGAGCAGTCCTCTGACAATGCACAGTCCAAACGATAGCTGTGCCATGACACGGCGAAGTCGTTGGGTATAGGCGTCACGTTCAGGCACCTTGGGCTGCATGATCAAAAGCGTTTGGAACAGAATACACATCTCACCATTTTGTTCCCAACGAATTTGTTTCTTTTAAAGCGATATTTAATATGGGCTCTACGCACCACTGGAAATGGCGTGTGTTGTTGATCTGATAGTTGGCGATGTATGGCGTCCGTCGTCAATGACGCCAGTACCTCGAAAAAGATCGGCCGCCGACTGCGGGAATTGAAACTTTCTCCGCTGCGTGCAAAGAGGAGGCGTTACCACAGAGCCTCGTCACACCACTAACAACTCGGTGTGCGCTTAGGGTTTTCGTATAATACCCATTGACCCATGCAAGCGCTCCCTGGGAATAAATATTAGCTGATAACGAAATTCCGTTGTAGCACAGACAATGCCAAAAACTCGTGACGGGAGACGCGCGTTCAAGCGCTCAGAAACAAAAACAAAATGTGTTCGAAAAACAAAATGGTCACATGTCTATTTGTTTCTTGTTATCGCCTATATCTTTTGTCCCTTTTCTAGAGAACGTGTGCAGTGTGCACCAGGTACCGCACAAACCTTCAGTATAAATATGCTGTAAACACCCTGGGCGTATCTCTGTGGTAACGCGTCCGTTTCGCACGCAGCGAACCCAGGTGCCACTCCTGCGCGTGGCGGGTATTTTTTATATTTTTTTCGGTTTTGACAACAATGAAGATGGACACACAAGCGCCTTACTACGCATACTACAACGTCTACAAGGCCCGTCATTTCCAGTGGGGGAAAAAAGCCCATAAGAGCGATCGATGTAATATCCTGAGGAAGGCGAATTGGTCAGTGGCACGAACGACCACCTCACACAAAGCATAATGCGATGGCCCGGCCTTCATAAATCCCCTTTTTGCGCTATCATCGCCAACTTTCCTCTGCCTCGGCTACAAACCATCATCATAACATTATTCCAGGATTTGCTGGGAAGATTTTCCTTTCGACCAGTAGAGTGGTTAAGGAAACAAAAAAGAACTCTTATTGAAACAAACTGCCGGGTAAGACGGACGTCAGAGAAAGCACAACATATATTAAGTAGCTAAATAAATAAATTAACTTAATAAAAATCTTTTTAAGCAGTGAAAATTAACATATGATTTTATTTATACTCTGTTCACCTTTCAGCTGAGACTAGAAGCTCCAGCTATAGCGCGAGCTCGCTGGCTTCCACACTGCTTTAGTTGTTAATGCCTGCGGGTTCACAATTGCGTTAGCAAGGGCAGAAAGCTCGCGCTGAAGGTGGAGCTTCCAGTCTTAGCTTAAATGGGCAGTGCAACGGTTTTAATGTTGAAATAATTGCCAGTTTGCATTTTTTTATATTGTTTATACAAGCTCAAGTGACCAAAAAGGCGTCACCTTCCCCCCCCCCCCCCAAAAAAAAAAAAAAAAGAACGGCTATTCTGCTGTGTAATCGCAAGGCAAAAAACGAATTATTTTCCGATCTGCAGCCGCCAATGGCGGTTACGGGAACTAAACTGACGGCGTCTCTGGGGGATACGAAGTCAACAAACCCTGTCCCCCTCCGCTGCTACACTCGCCGTCTGCCCCGAAATTGGCTTGCTCTTTATGTTTATACAGCCTTGATGGAGATGCGCCTCAACGGGTAATCGGTCTCTTAGCTGTAGATGAGAAATTTGGCCAGTGCGGTACAACCGCTAACCTGGGATTTTTAACGTGCATCACGCAGTAGTGATCACACGAACGCGTGCCGGTACGAAACTCATCCAGACCGAAACGGGCGGGGGCGGCGGGGATCGAACCCAGGAGGTTCCCAGCGCAAGCTTTCGCTCCACGCCGTCTGCCCCGTGGCGAACCGTCCTTTGTGTCCATCGCTCGCCGCGACCTTCGACGAGGCTAATCCTTTGAAAGTCCACAATCGCAGAGGAAGCGGCTGGGGTCTCTGAAGAGAGGGCCCAAGGGGAAACCACGTGAACCCCCAGAGACGTCACTCGAAAGTCGGCGTGGAGAGCTGAGAGGCACTTCGACCTTCGATTTGTTTAATTCTTTTTAAGATAAGAACTAGCGCTCGCAAGAAAATGCGGCTTTTGGTTTTTCGTTCCATAGGTGACGCAGATACATTTCCGCAGTTAATTGGCCAAAGTCTGAAAATCGTTGCACTGCCCCTTTAAGGGTGAACGGTGTATAGAAATTTGGTGAGAGTCTTTGAAATGTTCTATACTCCGGTTCAGTTTAAGTGTGAGCGTGGCAGAAGTTACAAGAGCGAGCTCCGGCATAGCATCCCCTATACTAACGAAGCCTGGCAGATCGCCGCAAGAAACAGCCGCCGAAATTGAAAAGTTAGAGCGGCAGACAATGAATGAGAGAGCCACGTGACGTGCGTCCCACTGCGGCGAGACGCCGAATTATACTTCTCCCGAGCGATAGAATATATCTGCTCGTGTTTCTCGCGTTCCTCGCGCTACCCCTTCGATTCTCGTCGGGTTCGAAAA